TGTTAACGTATTCAGAATCAATACACTCAAAGAAGTCCTCCAACTGTTATCAGGTGTGTGTTAGTAAACCTTTGTCGAATCAGCCTACATTTCAACATGAAGATGGTGTATGTGCTGTGATAGAAGACATGATATATCACTGTGAAAAATTTAAGAACATGTCAGACGCAGGAAGAAAGAAGCTGTTAGAAAAGCGAGGAGTATGTGTAAACAGTTTGTATCGTCACGACATAGGTTCATGCACCACACCTCCTAAATACACAAATGTCAAGGCCAGCGCCACTCAATGTTGCATGCAGCGTATGATAGCAGTGCTATCATACAGCTGATATGATGGTACAATCATCAAAATACAAACGCATAACACTGCATTACTAGCCACAGCCTTGTTTTTTAAATACTGTCAAATCCTACTACGGTCTGTGTTCGTCTTCTAATCGACACAGGTCCAACACACGTATTCATCAATGTAAGACTCATTAGGCAATCAACATTCGACGAAGACATTCCACCAGTTATATGTTGGAGTGTAGGGATCCCAATGACATGATGAAAACTCCTCCATCGTTCAACTGTTTCTCGTCACTACCGATGCCACTAAAGAGTAGAGAGAGACTAAAACTCACAAGGATAATGTTGGACCATCAAACAACACTGTTAACAGACGATCAACAAGGGAAGTACTTCATTAGTTGCCACCTGACACAAACACTTACAAGGTTACCCATTTCCGACAATTCGAGCACTGCTGCAATAATAAAGAACGAGGGAAGTGTATACCCTCTTGCCATGACTTCCATCATTCAAGGAAGGCATGTCGATGAGAGTTCCGGAAATGCAGATACAAACGCAACTGAAGCAGCAGCATAATTACCAGATATCCGCATGGCGGTTGGTCTCCCCTTGGGAAAATGGCATGTAATCAATAAGATGTCATCAACACGATAAGAGCAAATTAAAAGAAGAATACCCAGCTTACGCTCGACGATTGCTACACCAAAATCAAAAGATAGTCTTTTCAACAGGATACGCTTATGTCAAGAAAAGAAGGACATCGATTCAATTGGGAAGAAACATTTAAGTAAAAGGCTATGGCAGCACAAGCTCAATGGGACAAGATCATGCAATCTCAGACTTCTACACAATAGCTGACAACCAGAAGGGATCTCACCAACCTGACCGACCTCTACATGCCACGTTGGCTCAACATAAGGAGCACCTCACACAGAGAACTAGATGGATTCTCTGATGCACAAAATTGACAAAGTCGGCAGTCATGTACGTATCAGTGCACGAATAAAATAAAAAATGGCTGTGTAATGTGTTCCAAGACAAAGGAGACATTCACCTTGCCCAGGAGAATCCCAAGACCAAAGCTTACTGCAGCCTTACTCGATCCGAGGTTCATATAGAGCGATCTCGCCACAGAGAAAATCGACGTCAAGGCAATTCCATTGCTGGAATAATTTTCGGTAACCTTCATATAGATAAAGTCCCATCCATCGAGTTGAAAGGAATACGTAAAAACAGGGTTATCCAACTGTTAAGACAAAACACCAAAGGCGCACTGGAGATGTGTCCCAGGGACATCAGATACAGCACATGGTGCACAAAACATACGTGCAACATAAATTCAAGAACATCCATTGTGCTGGACTGGACCACCACGGATCAAAATCGCCAGAATAATGACCATGGCAATTTACATGAGATAAACAATTTCGATAAGGAACACGACCCGCTACATCATTGTTGGCCACGGAAACTATATCAAATTTTTACCGAGACAAATACATAGATATTCTTCGCTGAAAAATTACTAAGGATTGTCATTGTTTTAAAATTCATCAGCAGTGAAAAAAATAAAAAAACGTGAGCTGCACATAACAAAGGAGGTTTTAAGAAGGATCAAAGGATCCCAAGGAAAATGGCAACACCTCTTGAAGATAGTTTCTTCAGATCTCTCTCACGGATCAAGTATCGCACATAATAAAAAAACTTAGTCATATCCATAGAAGCTACAATAATCAAAAATACAAGAACACACCCTTATTACTTCAATAGAATCATCTCTCTCTACACAGAAGTGCAATATTATTATAATCATTTACAAATAATAAACATTGTTTTTACTAAATACATAATATTTTTCAGTCTTATCACTTATTATTTCCTTTGAAGTTATCCTGCCGAGAGACTAATCCACTGAACTATTGAATTGGTAGTTCGAGCCATAAACTAAACCTTTAAAATCGAAGAATATTATTATTTTGAAATATAATATTTAATAAAAGATATCACTAATTTTTTCACTAATTCTAAGAGATCTCTTTTTAAATAATATTTGTTATTTTAATTTTAAAAGAAATTTTCAGTATACGATTATATAAGATTAAATGCTACAAAATTCAATATGATAGCAAGTCTTTGATGCAATATTTTTAAGCTAATAATCTTAAAGAAAAATGTTATTATCTATTCTATTTTACATGTTACCTTAGAATACTCTTAAATTCATTGAAAGGATAATACTAATTATTAGTGTAGATACTTAAATGAAAATGATAAAAAGACAATTTTATATAAAATACGAGAATTAAATTTATAATTTTATTATTATTATTATTTGTTTGGAATTCCAGCCACCAGTATGATCGCAGATCAAGGTGGGTGGATTAGACCGTACCACCGGTTTAATGACGATGGAGGGAGGGGGGTATGAGTGAGAGGTTAATGTATCAATATAGTTTAAACATGACATATTATGTTACATTGGCTGATGTTGTTACCGTTCATTATGAGAATTGTTGAGCTCGTTATTTAACAGTTGCTTTTAAATGTAGAACGTCGTTCGGGAGTGCAAGACTAGGACTGTGTGACGATACTGGGCATGTATTATTATTCGTTATGGGGAAGAGAATCGCGTGACTCGCGGGGCCATGGGCGCTCCACTGGGCGATCTTTACAGGAGAAAGAATCGAGGGAGTCGTGAGGCCAAAGCGCTCTTCTGGGCGATTATTAGAGAGGAGAGAAGCGCGAGAATGAGTTAGTGGGGACTACTTAAACAGTATCGACGCCCTTTTCCGCGGTCTGACAAGAATCAAGTTGCAGAGGCCTGGCCGATAATGTTGGTGCTGAGCCGCAAAATATAATGGAATGTGTTACAAGATAATTTGCTGTAGATGCCAGTCTATGTCGTCACCCACAATACGGTCTTACTATAGTCACGTTGCGGAGGACGCACCGATAGCTGGCCAGCAATAGACAATTACTAATGCAAATAAATGAGTATACCTCGCACGGATTCCCGTAAACGTGTAGAACTTTTCACTGTTATGACTTGCACTAATTTCACTTGACTTACACAACAAGATTGCTTTTCTTCGTCGTCTGTTGCTCCTTATATATGATTTCGTACATTTAGCGGTATAATTCTTGGAAACTCTAGAGAATTCTCGGAAATCAAACTTTAGTACGTTCGAGAATCTTCGTTTGTTGCTATGCGGATATAGCACGCGGCTTAATTACATTGAGAATTTTAGTAGCGAATAATTAAAATATTATGCATTAGATTATAAAATAATGTACTAGAGTCATTATAATAAACAATAAATATTAATTGTTTGGTTGTTAAATCCTGAACATATATACTTGAATACTATTGTATTCCACAAATCCTACATCTATTTTGAAGCAAGTTTATACGACATTGTACAGATGTTTTGATGAAATTGAAACATTTAAATATTTAAATATAAAATTAAAAATTAATAAAATTAAGTACATAATCATTGTATTATTTTATTTTATAACATTGCTTAATGTTATATCCGTAGATACCGATCATTTTAAAGATTGAGAAAATTTGAATATGAACAACATAACAAAGTATTTTTTTAAATGAAAAATATTACGATTATTAAATAATTGATTTATAAAGATGTTACTTTCATTCGCTATACTGTTGCAGCGCTACTATGAATTTTAATTTAAAAAGTTACTCGCTACAGAAAAACTTAAAATTTACAATTTTTCTAATGTTCTGATATTTATGAAAATGATAATTGAAAAATTTGATTGTATCAATTGTATCAATACAATTTGTATCTCTATTTTCTAGTTTACTTCCAGTTCTATTTCTTTTTTTTACGTATTTTACTAGTTCATGCAGTGGTTTACAAATAAAAATGTTTTATTTTCATTACTTGTATTTGAACATTGTATTTCATTTTAATAACTTTAGTTTTAATAACCATTCATGTACATCCTTTATATACTTCTTATGCAGTTGCCTACCATTTTTCCGAATTTCAAAAAGCATGGTCGTATTTTGTCATGCGTTGTGTAAGTTGTAACAGTTGTAATATTTTAGTTACATACCGTATCAGAATAGATACTATGGAGAAGTAAAGTCTTTTATACATTTTAATAAAATTTGTAGTATAGTTTTGAATCTTATTTATTTAACTTTGCTGTGTCAGAGATTAAATTATCGTGAATTACTTTTAATATTCTTATATTAAAGTTCTTATTAATTCGCGGTTTTGACGAAGACATTACAACTTTATATTCCAAGTAGTATTCAGAATATTTCGTGCATTAAACAGTATAAATATTATATAGAAATAATAAATATTATAATTTTTCACATTCAACTATAGTATTAATTGATTTATAATAAATTATTTATCACAATAGATTCGTGTATCATTTTAAAATGAATAATCTATAATGGTATGATGTAATATGCAAAATAATGTTGATTTTATATATTAGCAGAAATAACATTTTCAAATTTGAATCTAAAAATTCTATATCTGAATATTCAGGATATTCAGATTATTTTTGTTATTTAAAGGCTTAACGATGTTGATAATTGTTTGTAATAGATTTTGTATATAAATATTTATAGAGTGTTATAATTATATTGAAGTATGTTATTACATAGTAAATTTGTTTTCATTAACAAAAGATTTAATTAAAATATAATTTGTCTTTAGCTAGTGTAAATAAACAAGTATCCCGACAAACAAATCGCCCAACCAATATAATTCCATCGTCATTAAATGATAATAACGATTCATTACTTAATATTACTGGACGTCGTGAGTTAGAAAATATTCCACCTACTCCAACAACACCAGCATTTCCAATACCTAATTCTATTTTACATAAACAAAAACAAATGCAAGTTCAACAAATACAAGATAATGGGAGAAATCGTCGATCAAATGTTGTGAAAGAAGTAGAAAGATTGAAAAAAAATAGAGAAGAAAGAAGACAACGTCAAGCAGAATTGAAAGAGGAGAAAGAAGCGTTAATGAATATGGACCCAGGGAATCCTAATTGGGAGTTTTTAGCTATGATCAGGTATAAAATAATATAACTTTGATTATTTGTTATTTTATTTTTATATTACATTTATATTATTGCAGAGATTACCAAAACAGCATAGAATTTCATCCGTTAAGAGAACTTGACATAGTTGAAGATCATCAAATAACTGTTTGTGTTAGAAAGCGCCCTTTGAATAAAAAAGAACTTGTTCGAAAAGAAGTTGATGTTATTAGTGTGCCTAGAAAAGATCAGATTGTAGTACATGAACCCAAAGCTAAAGTTGATTTGACAAAATATTTAGAAAACCAATTATTTAGATTTGATTATGCCTTTGACGAATCATGTACTAATGAAATTGTTTATAAATATACTGCAAAACCATTGGTATCAACAATTTTTGATGGGGGTATGGCAACTTGCTTTGCTTATGGTCAAACTGGAAGTGGAAAAACTCATACAATGGGAGGTGATTTTAACGGTAAAATTCAAGATTGTAAAAGAGGAATTTATGCTATGGTAGCCAAGGATGTATTTAAGTGCCTAAAAATGACGAAATATCGTCCTCTAAATTTGATTATTTCTGCTAGTTTTTTCGAAATTTACTCAGGAAAAGTATTTGATTTATTAGCAGATAAAGAAAAATTACGCGTTTTAGAGGATGGTAAACAACAAGTAAGTTAAAAAGCTTTTATTACAATTGAAATAAAACTTTGTTAATATATCATGTGAAATATAGGTCATTGCAGATTTTATTTATTTTGCGTAACTAGATAAAAGATAACTATTTTAAGCATTGAATTTTAAATAATCAAATGTTTATATAAATATGGAATTCCAAATTTTATTGTATCTTGTTATAAAAATAGCAACAAATCTTTGAAAAAAGATGTACATAATATAACAATAAATGTTAAATTATTTTAGGTATTAGTATTTTTGCACTACGAATTATTACAAAATGATTGTCAGCAAATGATAAGTTCTACATGTGCTCTTTACTTAGTTTAATCTAATAAAAATAGTTTTTAGTCATAGAATATATTCTTTAATAGTTTATTATTTTATATAAAAGACTTGTTGATAAAAAAACAAATTTGTAAACGACATTCCTTAAAATTTTTTAGAAAACAGGTTTGTTTACTTGTGTAAGGAAACAATAGATATCGATTATTAAATTTTAAAATAATGTAAGTACTTGTAATTAGTAGGCTTATAAAACATTCTATATTATTTGACTGAAATATAATTTATAATCGCTGATACTTTATTTATTTACCGAAATTTTGAATTTTATTACTTTGAAACTTTATTTACCAAAAATATTATTTTAAAATTTTTTTTATTTTTAATATTGTAGTAAAACTATTATTAAAATTAAAGCTAGTCTGCGGATTAATAAAATTACAGTTATTAACGATCTACAAATATTCATTGAGAACACCATATCCAAATATTTCTTAAGTATATATAGGTTTATATAAAAATATATTTTTAGTATATACAGTGAATTATAGTACACATTCTTTAAAAGGTTTTAAAGTTCAATATCTTTGTAGCTAAAAATCAGTGAAAACAATAACGAGGAGTTGAATTATACATTTTTTGTAATATATAACTGCTTTATCATACATATTGGTGTAGTTAAATTTAATGATTTTATCTCATATAGTTTGATAACATTTGAACAAATCATTTAAATATATACACTAATTTATTGCTTTTTAAATAGTGAATGAAATGAAATTTATTTTATAATGTTGCTTGATTTAGTGTATTTACAGTTTTTACTAATAGTAATTTTCAACAAACATTTTATTAATCTTATATGTTCAGTTTTGCTGTTAGTTATCTGACATTGAATAGCTAAAGTGGATCAATCTTCAAAAATTTGTTCGAAATAAATTTTAAAAGACTCAAAAATCTTTCAAATTCGAATTTTGTAATAAACTATTTTAGTATCGGTGTTTCCAATTATATGTAATATCTTTGTGAAAATTTAAATTTAAATGATTATTATTGATGTATAGTTATAAACTACATTTTGTGCAGATTATTTTTTTTAAACATAAATAATAATTGAAATATAAAGCATTTGCCAAAACATTGAAACGTCTTTAGAGATATTATTATATATTGAAATAGTATATTTATTAATGTTTTTTCAAAATAATATGAATACTTACAAATTTTTAATGTGTTATCAAGATTAACATTATGTTTTAAATTAATTTTAACAAATACGGGACAATTTTTGTCGATAATTTTTCTTATCGAAAAATGTATAAAATGTTAAATTATATAATTAAATAATATTTTTGTCTAACACTATTTTTAGAATCAAATGTATTTGCATTATAATATTACATAGTATTACAAAATATAAATATGAAATTCGAATCAGTATTTAATTGTTAGTTAATTTACTAAAAAAATGAATACAAATTTAAGTGTAATAATAAATTATTAATTTTAATATTAAATTTCAAGATTACACCCACAACATATTAAGGAGATTAATATACTTCCAAATATAATAAATAGCCACAATCAATTTCTACAAAAAATAAAACTAAAATCAAATTTCCTGATATAAATTTAAAAAATAGGGATGAATTCGATCGCTGTTTACTATTCATACTATTAATTGAAAACATATTTATTGGATTATTGTAATAAGCCAATATTTTGAACTTATCATTTTGTTAAGATATAAATAAGTATAATATTTTGTGGTAACTATAAAAAATGTGAATCATAGAAAGAGAATAATCCGCTGATAATTTAATTAATCTAAATCCTGCAGAATAAATGCCTACAAAAATAAAAATGAATTGTTTATATGTAAATACTTCTTAAAACCTTACATATGCTTATCTAAAGTAAAGTAATAAATTTATAAAACTTAATAAAATATTTATTTAAAAAATGTTTGCCCAATTTTTATGTAAAATTGGGTGTTATGACTATCGATAATCAAATAATCAAACAAGTAAATACATTCGTATCAAATATAAAATATTGAATTTAATTTAGTTAATTTATTTTTAAATTTTCATATAATTTACTATTTATAATATTTTTTTGTTAATAATTTTACTTTTCATGTTTATTCGATAGTTTATAAAGAAAAATCAAAAAAAATTTGGTTTATTGAAACGTTGAATGTGTATTTATTAAATCATAGCAATTTTCCTGATTGTTATCTTCTTATGCATTCAAAATTATAATTACTTATTTTATATTAATCTTTATAATGGTTTCTTTCAAAATTTTCAGAAATTAAAAATGTTTCTTTACTATTTTTGTATTTCATAGTTAAGCATAGAAAGCCTATATTTTATAGAATGTATTTTTTTATTTCAAAATAATTAGTATATTTATATGATCTGATGTCTATTTTAATTAATACATTCAATTTTTTAATGATTTTTCATTAATTATTAATTAAGTATCAGTAATGTTAGCTCTGATAAGATTTATCTTATAGTTATTTTTAATTCCAATTTCAAATTTAATTAAGAGAGACGGTTAAATTAAATTATCGGTACAATAATAGAAAATTTAAAAAAGATAATTAAAACATTTAGTTTATGACTGTTCAACTGGAAAGATATTGAAATTATTTTTTTTTAAATAAAAATAGAAATTGATAAAATTCAAGTCGTTCAAAAATCTAATTTATATTCAGCTTGAGCAATGGCTTCGATTTATATTTAAAAAATTTCTCTATCGGTAGTTCGTGTTGAAAAACTACTACAATATACATGTAAATAATGTGTATATATTTTAAATATATTAATTTTTATTTCCCTTTAGAAATTAAAAATTAAGAGACGTACGTTGAACGTAATTAATTTAAATATTTTCCATTTATTGGATAAATTAAATTCAGATTTCTTATATGAAATATAATTTTTAAAGCTTTTTGTTATAGTTGAAGCTAAATTTGTAACTCAATTTAATAATATTAAAATGGAATTGTACTATATAAGATGGACCTTGTTTATAATAAAAATTTAATTTTAATTTTGTAAAGAAATTTATATTTAACTATTTTATATGTGCTTATTAAATTAAGTTTAACTTTACTTCTAAAATTATTGTTTACTATTAATTGATTGCTTTAACAAAAATCAAAATAAAAAAAAACAAGATTAATAACCTATCATTATACTTTATCTCAATCCGTAAATTTATTTTTTAAGGACACGTTTCTTTTATTTTTAGTACTCGAAAATCTGTTGATAAATTTTGTGTATGCAATTAAATTCTAAAACAATTAATTGACAAACGATAGATAATCCTTGTAACGTTTTAGAAGTTTTAATATATAAACTTTTAATGCACTTGCAGCATGAATGATGTAACGATGCGACCGGAGACTGAAACGTGTCCGATCAGCTCGAGTACTCGCGGCAGAGAGAGCGTCCTAACGCCCCCAATTTCCGCGCAATTCTTCGGTAGCGCTACCAACAAAAAAGAGTAAGTGCTCGTTGGATCACCAATGTAAACAACCATAAAATCCAAGTGACTGCGAAAAATATTTTGAAATTATTGATAATATTATAAACGTAGCAACTAATCAAAACTAAGAGTTACACAATTAAAAATGATATAAATTAATAAAATATGACTAACGAAGTTTCACGACAGAAAGCACACATTATTATATCTTATAGTAATAGGCTATTACATTATATTGAAATTTATGTTTAATTTAATTTTTTCATAAAATCATATTAGTGTATAAAGAAGGCTTAGTAATTAAATATTTATCTATATATTAAATGAAGTCATTTTAAAAGTTGAAGATTAATGGTGTTTATTTTTTTTATCAATTATACATTCCTATATTAATAAATGATTCATTTTTTAGTATTTATTTATTTAGTTATTATTTGTAAATAGGTTCAAATCGTAGGATTAACGGAAAAAGTTGTAGAAAATTGTGAGGAAGTTTTAAAGTTAATACAACATGGAAATAATGCTAGGACAAGTGGACAAACCAGTGCTAATACAAATTCATCCAGGTCACATGCAGTATTTCAGATAATTGCTCGAGTTCCCGGAACTCATAAGGTTCACGGAAAGTTTTCTCTTATAGATCTTGCGGGTAACGAACGTGGTGCTGATACGTCTTCGGCAAATAGACAAACTCGTAAGAATTTAAATACTTATTTTTACATAACTTTTTTATAAGGCTACAACTATAATAATAAATAATATGTAAATATATTACAAATTAATTTTAAATTATAACAGTATAATTATTATTCAGAACAAAAAAAAGTTTATGTATTATAATTTACACAAATTCATATTTATGAAATGGGAATTGCATTGAAATCGAAGAACTTTTATACAGTATTCAAATCATTATTGTTCTATTTATCTTTTTGCCTTTTTTAGTAAGGATTTTATTTTGGTAAAAATAAATTTAATTTTAAATAGAAATTCCCATAAAAAATATATAAGTTAGACTGCAATAGTAAATAGAAATAAAAATTAAATTAAAACTGATGATCCTATATGATTAAAGTGAAAGAGGAAAGGGATAGAAACGAATAAAAAAGACAGGTAAATAAATATTTTTGTTCTGAAATAAATGAGTGGCATTTCAAAATTCATTTAAACCTAGCTTCATACAGCAAAACTGCAAATAATTATCTTGATCAGATAATTGAATACGGTGCACAAGAGAATACAAAATATAGATACAAATTGTCTTGCAATATGAATTAAACGAGATCAACTTTTATAACAATTCCTTATTGATTTCATTATTTGTACATAGGTCATGGCAGAAAATTCTCAATCTATTATCGAATACATACATAATTGATTAACCAATATTATTGAAACTATTAATGTATTGCAGTGATTGATGTTATCATCCAAATGGTGGTAGAAATTGTAGAAGCTCTTTTTTACAATTTCAAATTTTTTCTGATAAAGTGAGTGTAAATAAAGAACTTAATACTATGAACTCATTTATCAATAAATAAAACCAATTTTATTTGACTACGTCCAAATAACACTCCTGTCAATCTAATATTTGAAACGTATGGTACCTACTTGATATTGACTTATTGAACTTGATTATCGGTTTTAAATAATGTATTTAAAAGAGTTGATCGAAGATTTATAATTTAAAAAATATAAATAGGACCGTCATTAGTTATATAGAGAACTTCTTCATACAGAATATTTAAAAGAGAACTACCAAATTATCGAGTAAGAATTAAGAAACATCTATCAGCAAGTAGAAACATCTAAATGCTTTTGATGAAAATTAGAGATATCGTTTACAAAATTATCATTTTGAATTAAAATTTTAGATATAGATATCGTTCTGAAATAGAAATTGCTTATCTGTAATCAAATATCTGGGAATCTAATTCGTAAGTTTATAGTGAACCTGCACGAGTGATCTAACTGATATGCAAAGCATTCAAGCAAATTTAAAAATCCAAATACCAAATACTTCAATAAAGGCTGACACGATGACAAAAGAAAATCTATTTTTTGTAAATTACTTCATGTTCAAGATTTTTTAATATATCTGAAATTTCTTATCAAATGAAATTATAGTTTTTAATTTTCATTCTTTGTTGTGGTTATATATGTGAGAAAAATAGCATAAATCTGCTTAATCTTGATAATCAAATGATCATAATTTTGTATTAAAAATAATCTGTTTTAACAAGCATTTCTAATTTATTTAAACATCGTTTTTAGACGCACGTAGTTATAATTCATAAATTCTATTAAAAGGCAATAAATTGCTATTCTGAATTATCTTGATAAAATAAAATAATTTATAATATTTATTATTTTTTTAGTGGATGTCATCTTAAACATATTCCAGACTTTAATATTTTTTTATTAATTTTAATATTTATCAAAATATATCTTCTTTAATAATATATTTTTTATATTATTTCAACATAATTGCATACAAAAAATAAACGTCATACATTTTTCCAAAAGTTATTTACTTTAAAGTGAAAGTAATGTATGAATATTTAATTTTAATATAAAATTAATAATTATATAATAGTATTTAATGTTTTCATATATTTACTTATTCATTAGACACTTTTAAAATAATAAAATTCGACATTAGATTTTATCAGGAATTGTTTGTTTATGTAAAATGTACTTATCAAGTTTATGAAGTCTTGAAAAATAGAAAAACCAAAATATAAATATTTAAAAATATCTATATCAATATCCATCACATAAATATACATTAAATAAAAATCATCTGAATAATGATAATTATTGTAATAGTAGCAATACTCAAAATTTATCATGCTGTATTGCAAAAAATATATAATTTAAGAAGGTAAAAAGCTATGTTGTTAATAAACAAAGTAAAATCTGTTAAAAGCTGTACAAATTATATAATTTATAAATGAAATAATATTGAACTAACGACTCTAAAATTTTAAATTTATTCTTATCAGATTCTAGAAAGGTTTTAGATTCACATTCAATAAAAAAAAACTTATTTGTAAATAAAACATTTAAAATCTCAGCTTTCTGACATACAATAAAAATAAACAAAAACATTAAATGTTTTTACGGTAAACAAATTTTTATTAAAAGTTTTTCTAGGTTGAATCGCTTATATCATAGATTATTATTGTAAAGAATAAATATTTCATACTTTAATTTAAATCATCTAATTTTCATTAACTTTATCAACAATGACACAGCTGGATAATTAAATATTAATTAATCTTAGTATATTAAACTAATAAATAATGAACACATCTTTTGTAACTGTATTTTGAAATTAAATAAAATTTATTTAATATTTTGATAAAACTAAAATTATAAAGACTGGTATTGCTATTTTATGCGTATGCTATTTGATATTCAGGTTTATTCTTAAATATAGGCTTTAATTATATTTCATAGGAGATGTTGAAGAATTTTGATCTAGAGTAGGCTTAATACTTAACCATCAGTATAATTTTTAACTTGTGATTATTGGATATTACAGTTACAAGCAAAACTGTTTTATTCTCAAAATTGAATGAAGAAACTATATCGACTTTAAGAATTGTCAAAGGATAAAGCATCAATTTATTAATGGATATTTTAAGCTATGCCCATTATTCAAGACAAAAAGATATTTGTATATTTGAGTAGACAGCGGTAGGCTACCATATGGACTGAACAATGTGTATGATGTGGCAGTCCTGATTTCAGCTTGCAAAATGATGACAAAACAGTTTAATTTCAATACAATCTCGTTTTGAATGTTTTACTCCCAGGCTACCATCTTCACTACTCCCTTAGGATTGGAGCTGTATATAACAATTACATTCTGTGGTTCAGAAATTTAAGGGTATCGTCAGACTATACCTTCTAGGAACAACCACATTTCATAGTCTTGTTCAAGAGGTTTCACATCCCCATCAACTGTCAACATTCTTCCTAAATGGAAAATGCATCCCAGTCAGGTAATATTTGATGTATTGATATCTTTTAAACATTAATGCTTCTATAGCCTTGTTCATTGATAGTATTTGTTCAAGAATCTTCAAGGTCAGAACTGCAAGGCTATATAAATATCTTTGAGGACCATGCCTTATACTTTATTTAATACATTGCAGTTAATTTCAAAATCACATTTATACTCTTGATCTCTATTCGGTTTGTCCGAAATTGTTTCTTGCAAATCTTACAATCTCTTCATATATTCTTCTTATCAAATTCAATTTTATCATCTAAAAATTCTAATGGGATGTACTGTGCATTAAAATTACACGGTTGATTTTCTTCTATTTAAATTTGATAATTTAATCTCTTGTATATAAAAGTGATATCAGAATAAAAAAACTAATATCTCAAATAATCTAAATACTTCCCTTCGTTAATCAGTAAGAGTTTCTTGATTTTCGAAAATGTATGAAAATTATTTCACGACTCCATTATAAATTTCTAATTAGCTTAGTGTTATAGAATTAAAACCATTGTTTTATAGTCCATAAAAAATATTGTTATCAAAATAGGAATATAAAAAATGTATTAAGTGATAAGACAAATAATAATGATGATGATGTCTTTAAAATATAAGAAACAAAATAAAAGAATGTTGTTTATTTGACAAAACCAAGCGAATTAGTATTAAGTAAAATTTTTAAATAACATTGAGAAAGGTATAAATGAAATGATTTTATTTTTAATTAAAATAAAAATTTTATATATTTTTTTGAGGTAAGCTTACTCTTTTGAGTAAATTAGTCTTGTTATTTTTGTATATTAGTATATAAAATATATATATATAGGACATATGCTAAACACAAATCTGTACACTTAAAAATTTTTTAGTATAAATTCAATAGTTATGAGGCAATGTTTTTATTTATTAAAACAAAATTTTTTTTTCTTTTTTTAATGTCTTTTATAAAATTGACCTGATAGAAACCATCATTACTCATATATTATAAATTATATTACATCAATAAATTTATTTTATAAAACAAAGTTATAATATAAATTTAAAATAAATGTTTTCGTATTTATATTAAATTTCATTGTCTTAGAACTCATACTATTTTGCTTCTTTGATTTATAATTATCTACAAAATTTTAATTAATATATGTTGATTTACTAATAGAATTATATAGTAGATCATATAGTACCTAATCATATTTACTAATAAATGATAAATAAATACTAATTCTATTATTGTGTAGAGAAATATTTAGTTATAATTTTTATCATTTTTTGTTACATTATATACAATTTTTACATATGAATAAATTATGTTTTCTATAAAATTTTTCGAAATTTAATATTTTTGAATATTATAAAAATAATCAATTTGTAAGTTTAAATGTATAAAATTTATTTAATTTTGTGTCGGTAATATAGATAATAATATAGATTGAGAAAGCAAAATTCGAGCTTAAAAATCAGACCAAGAATTATAAATTGTAGAGATTTATATGAATGTATAATTTATATATATATTTATTCTCTAATTCCAATTAATAATAGAAATTTATAATATTTACATTTACGTTATTATTTATTTTAATGACAATTATGGGTTCATCAATGGATTCTCATCTAGTCTATCAATTTCGCGATTGTTATTCTCTCTGTTTATAATTTAAATGAAATTTTATAAGTTTTATTTTTTCTATATTTTTTATAGACTATATTTAAAATTAATTAATCATATTGCTTTTTTCTGGTAATCAAATTTAGCTCTATTTCATGCTCAATATATAGGCTTTGTAGATTACAGGTCCGTACATTGATCAACAATATATTATTTTTATAGGTAATATTATATTAACTATAATAATATTTTTAAAGTTATATTAATAATCTGATATGAATTAAATTATGTTTTATGTGTTATAATGGTTTCAGGAATGGAAGGTGCTGAAATTAATAAATCACTACTAGCCTTAAAAGAATGTATAAGAGCTCTTGGTAGAAAAGGTACTCATTTGCCGTTTAGAGCGAGTAAATTAACTCAAGTTTTACGAGATAGTTTTATTGGAGAAAAATCAAAAACTTGTATGGTAATATAATATTAATATATTTATTAAATTATTCTTATGAATGAAATCATTAACGCAATTTTATTAATCGTAATATAATTTTCCAAATTCAATTTAAATATTTTGTTTGATAAAGAAATTATTAAATATTCAAAGCATTTTTAATTTTAGTAATAATGTCAAAGAAACGATAATAGGTTACTGTTACGGATTGAACAGTTGAAAGCTGAAGACCAAAGTGGGAGAGGTATAAGCGCGCGAACGATTGTTTATAAACACTAGCCAACGAGCTCGAGTAACATTTCTACACCGAAAACCCGAATATAAGACTAGAATTTCGAAGAATTATAACAATGGAACTCATAAAAACTGTACTTATTGACGTCACAAAAAATACCGAACAAAAAGACAAAAAAAATAACAACATAAACAACGAGCTCACTATTCAGTCTTCAAGCTTCTTTCTACAGTCGTCTCTCACTGTAGATACACACGTACGTAATTGCTCAAACAGTAAGCAATTTGACTATACAATAGTGAAGCACATTTCAGAATCTGCTAATCAAACTTAACGAATAACGCGATAGTGCTAACTTAATCAAGAGTGAAACTATCGAAGCCTACTACATATATTAACGGATTACACCAGCCCTAAGATAGCAGCAGCGGTCCTCCTTTAGAAAGCTTAGGTGCAACAGCAGCAGTTCTTACGCACCGACACAAAGGTAGGAGCAACCCAGTGTCACTTAGGAAGCAGCGGTACAACAGCGGCGGCTCACGCATACTACTATAGCGGTACTTCTCGGAAGGGAAGGAGTCACTCCACACATTGCGGAGAGTACATGCACTCCCGTCAGCACGTAACACTATTGAAGAAACTTCCTCTAATTATTCGTTCACACCTTTTTCACACACTATGAATCATAACTATTTGTTACATTATTATACTTAATAAAGGAAAGAAAGGAAACACTGGATGTAGTATTGAATAAGTGCATTGCCCCTTCCACTTACCAACAACACCTCCACCCAACATCTAAGGAGATTTTTAGTCTGATCCCAGACATTTTGGTCCTTCGAGCCGGATAAGTGGAATTCAGTGCATTCGCTCAATACTGCTACATCCAAAGGAAAATAGCCCCAGTATAAACAGTTATACGTAAAATTCTAATTAACAGCGTCAAGAAAATTCTTCAATACTGTAAGTACACTACTATTGCACTCCTTTATTAACAAAATGTCAACCCAAGACAGAAGGGAAGGCAAGGAACCCATGAGTGCAAATATGTCCACCGCCCAGGAACGCACAACTCGTAGCACAACCAAGAAAAAACTAACAAACGAACAAGTAATGAAAGTCCAATCTCAGTGGGCCCGGATTACTATTATCAAAATACTAACGGACAGCCTCCGCGAAGAGCGCACAGATATTAGTCTATATGAGGCACAAGTAATAAAAAATACCATTGAAGAAAGACACAACAAGTTCATAATGGAACACCATGGCATAGAAGCCAGTTGGCCACAGTCGGGTCTTAATTATGAATACTTCACGAAAAATGCCTTGGTAGAAGAAGCCATCTGCTATACTAAGGCAACAGCAGCGATCATGAAATTGTGCCAAGAACCAGGCCATTCGACACTATCAACAAAAAAAGACCACTGATACAGAGGAGAAGATACTCCCAGGAGAATCACGAGCAGCAACATATCTTCCCATCATACCCATCTAAAAAATCACCGGCGAATCGCACAACGTGGCCCATCAATGCCTACTCCACAAGGACGGCTCATGAGAGACGACAACTATCGCACGTCATACACTCAGTTCATGACGGAACACGAGAATTTAAATCAAATACGAAGACTCCTACAACTTATTCAGGATGAAGGAGACAATTACCCACTCGCTATACCTTCTCTGAAATGCGGAAGATACGTAGACGATATCTTTGGAAGTGCGGACAATCTAAGCCAACTAGTGGAAACAGCAACACAGTTAAGGGACATCTGCACGGCGGGCGGATTCCCATTGGCAAAATGGCACTCCACTAACGAAGAAGTAATCACCGCCATGAAGACACAACAGAATCTCGAACAGTCAGTAAACTTAAACGAGGATACTACCATAATTCTAAGACTACAATGGGAGCCACCCGAAGACGTTTTCACATTCTCAACATAATTGGCCTCCCGAGCAGCCACCGTCTCAAAGCGTACCATCCTCTCTGACATTGCCAAAATATTTGATCCATTGAGATTAGCATCACCAGTAGTAATTCGAGCCAAGATACTACTTACGAAGAGAGGAGCAGTACATCCGAAGACACTCAATTATCCTTACACACCAGCTGACTAAATCAAAATCCTGCCAATTTAACAAAGCGACAAAAACCAATCAAACCCTCAGAAATCAACCATTAACATATGGAATAGGCAGGACATCACCAATACAAACATTAGGCATCATCACATTAATAATTCAGTCAATACATACCAGAGACTGGGTTACAGTTCGTGTTTACATACTCAAGTCATTATCCTTAGTGCTTAAATCCCATGACCTTACACAATGCACTTGGCCACCCTTTGAAGGATTACCACAGCCGATCAAGAAAGACATCAGCAAGGCTCACAAGAGTCACTCCTCACCGCTCTCGCCCTTGCTAGTACCGATCACGCGCTCTTCACATCAGGCTCGCTATCCAACTATTTATTATATTATTTATGTTCAATAAAGGGAAAGACACTACACTCTAAAGGCAGTATTGAATTATGGCATTGCCCGATCCACTTACCAGCAACACCTCCACCCAACATCTAAGGAGGTTTTTAGTCTGATCCCAGACAATTACTTTGTATTCATTTATTTTCATTTTCATATTAAAAAGAGTTATGAATTGATTTCTTTAAATTATATTTTGATTATTTGTATTTATATATAAATTCCTAATTTAGTTTTAAAGAACTAATATTTACAGCTGACATTAATGTATATGATAATAGGAATTTAATGAAAACGAAATAACGTTTTAAAACACCCTTAAGTTTTTGGAGTAATTAAAATCGTAAAGTAGTTTATTTTTTCAACTATATAAACGTGTATTAACAGTAAATAGCGACATATTCACCTAATGAACGAACTTTACGGAATATATACCTATCTCATTGTGGAATATAAATATATCTTTTGGAAGCTTAAATAAAAAATATATTAATAAGTTGAATTCTTTAATATAAACCTTCAAAATTAAGAAAAGATAAAATCTCAAATATTTAAATAAAAATTACTAGTATTAAAAATATTCATTATATGACATTGTATAAAAATTTTAAAGTATTTAATAAAAATTATTATATTTTTTTCCCAAATATTTATTGAATGATCCATAAAGCATAAAGACTAATGACAAGTTGAAAGCCTGAATTAAAAATTCATAAAATACAAAATAAATGGGATATGTTAAACCTATCTTAAATTAAGACAAAAATTATAATTTATATATAAAATATATATTCGTTATGCCTGATATTTTTATAAAGTAAATTATTAGTTAAAAAATAGAAATATTTTCTAATAACATTTAATCATAAATTTATGTTCATTGTAATTATTAAGATTAGTCCTTTTTATTTCTAAAACCTTATACTAAGTTATATAACGAATATATTCATATTTAATTATTTAGTCAAACTTAAATATATTCCAATTACACAAGATGATAAATCATTACATTTTCAGAAAATTTTATGAAAATCGAACTAACTACAGTTATACAAGTTCTTAAATCATAAATAAGGAAGTATTTGGAATTATAAATTATACATTTCTTAGCAAAATTTAAAAGGGTAATAACAAGTCTAAACTGAATTATAATTCTATATTACAGAGTTTAAAATATATTGTTTGATTCCTTATGGCATTTAAAATCTATGGAATTTGTATTGCATAAACTCTATGTTCTAAAAATATTAAATGTGCACATTATACGCAGTACAATGCTATGTCAGCATATATAAAATAATACTAGGCAAAATCCTATGTTGCAATTTAATGTGTTTATTCTGATTGTTTAATTAACTATTTTAATCCACCACTTTGTTCTTAATATCTTTTTGTTACTTTAACTTCGAATAGACGTATTTAGGTATATTATCTCAAATTTGAGGTATACTAAACATAACCTTAGTAAATTTTTGTATTGTATTTTAAGTTTTTAATATTATTTATTTTATTTTATAATTAAATTATACATTGATTTCATGCATTTATTTGCAATTAAATTAGTATATTTTTAACTACTTTAATATCATACTATCGAAGTAGAAATGTAATATCGATATATCCATTACAATGATATCATTACCAATATTTTTAATATTAATAGAGATCAAATTAAAAATGAATTGTTCATTAAGCCATTGATAATTAAATTAGAAATAAACGGGAAAGATTTCATTATTTTCTTCATTCAAAATCCTAAATTTTTTTTTTTTTTTTTTTAATGTACGTTGTAGCCTTCTAGCATTTTTAATTATTGATCTTAACCTCAAATCGAAATTTATCTTATTAAATAATAAAGTTATTTCAGATTTCTTTGAAAAATTAGTCGTATGTTTATATTGCTAAATAATTTTGTAAGATCATTGATTCCATTGCTAAAAAAAAATATTTTTTATTTATATATATATTTTTACTCCCAGGAACCTATGATAATTTTTTTAAATTTATAAAAATATATATTCAATTCATTTATTTTTTAATTAAGTAAATATTAAATAATTATAAAATAATTTTAATAATACTGTTTACACACATACATACATATATATAAATATATAGTATATTTAAATTTCAATAGCGAACTAAAGCTAATTAAGCTAAATATTATTAATTAAACTTAAATTTATATTATATTATTATTATATTATTAAATTAAATATTAATTAAACTAAATATAATTAAGGATACACATATATATGTTTGTTGTATATACACGTATGTTTAAAGTATAATGTATTTCGTGTGCATGTGTATATATATATATATATATATATATTTAATTATTGTGTTTTAATATAGATTGCAATGATAAGTCCTGGAATGACTTCCTGCGAACATTCATTAAATACACTTCGATATGCTGATAGAGTAAAGGAACTTGCTGTCACTGATCCTACAGAAATAAAATCTTCATCACTCGATAATGAAAAAAGTATTCAATATGATCAAATTCCCAATAATAGTGTGTTGTCTGACAGCGATTTAGCTCAGTTAATATCTTTAAATGTAAGTTATGTGAAAACTATTTAATTACTATAAATATAATAGTACAATTTTATTTAAAAATTTTAATTAAAAATCAAAATTGTGGTAAACTGAAATTCAATCTGTTTTGTATTGCCTATTAATCCTGTTTTACTCGATCATGAATTTTTGACCTCAATATGAATCAAATGTATCCGGACTTATTTTTGTTTATATTAATCTGTACAAAATCTATTCCCCGTTCCGGCTTGTTTTACCAAGACCGATTCGAAGGATACAAATTGATGCCGTTGACAACACAGAGACCACGGGTGTTGTGTGGTAGCGATGTAAGGTCACAAGTGGAAGGGATTTATAATAATACAATATAAATATGGTTGATGTATATGCTGTTTATTCTGTTATTTATTTGATGACAAGGTTGACTAGTATAACTATTATTTATTATTGAAATAACTCGGGATGGATTAATGTGATTGCGGTGGCAAACGTATACGCTTATCTATGCAGCGTGATGATTTTAATATGAGCGCAGAATGGCGCGAGGTTTGATTCGTCGACACTCGCGCTGTTTGGATGAGTGTGTAATTGAGGTTATAGTTGTGATTTACGGCCACACATGTTACTGTTGTTACTTGAGAGATATACTCGTAGCGTAGCAAGCGTACCTTGTCCTGATATTGGCGTACTGCAATAAATTTAGATGGAAGTAAGAGTTTGAAGGGCTTTTACCTCATGAAGAATATTGCTACTTGTGTTTTCTGCGAGCGTTGAATGGCACGCTGTGGATTCATAAGCGTCAGACTTTGAACTAGGTGAGGGTAAGGCCGGTAAGTCTCGCATCAGTTGATGCGACCTCGACGATGAGCTTGGAATTATTCTGCACTTTTGAACTTGTAACGATGGTTTCTTGAACTGCGTTAATGAACATACAGGGATATGTCGTCGTTCTTGTAGGACGTGTAACGACTTGCCTTGAACTGTGTTAATAGACTTCCACTTGACACGTATTCGAATAAGTATTGTATCGAGAGTGTTTGAATCTTGAAAAATGCGCCCCATAAATACATTTGGTGACAATGAACTTCACTTGAACTCCTTCCCTTATTTTTCGTCCAATCAGAGACTCCTCCCTTACAGAGCGAGGGCAGTGCCTCTTATGGCTTTATAATTAATTAAGGGCCTAGTCATCTCTTGGTCTTCATGGCAAGAAGAGCTCTCGTTGCCGCCGACGCATCTGGTGACAGCATGACAACTTGTCGACAGCGGGAAGGGGGGAGTACATACTGCTTGAAGTATGGAAAGTAAATATTCCATTTACTTTACCGAACGTAGCGAATTCGTACATATGCCTAATGAGTGAGTAGTTGTAGTTGTAGTTGTAGTAGTAAAGGGAGTATGGGACTATTTACTGCCTGTGTTAACATCGTAAGGATTAGCAGGGAGAGTCGACCATACTTATATGAAGATTATGGGAATGTCTGTGAGCAAGTTATTCTCAATGAAGACAGATGATATACGTTCGAGTGTAGAAGGGTAAGATACCATGCTCTGTGAAGTCGACTACTTCCTAAAATGACAATCAGCCCTTGACTGGTTAACCGTGCGCACTGGAGAATTGAACGAGCGTTTCTTGCAATGGCTGCACTGAGAGAGCGTGTGTTGCGTGACTTTCTGTAAATTTCGTTTAATGGTGTGGCTAGGGTGTGGATGACTGGCCAGGACGAGTAACTGCCTCAAAGGAATAACTGACACTATGTACTGAGTGACTGCTGAGTGATAATTATAACGAGTCTTGATGTGCGTTTCCTTAAGTATCAGCGCAGCAGCTAAACTAGCTAGCAACAATGCTTAGGTGCTGCTATGCGGAGAACAACAGGCTTTCAGAATGTTCGAGAATCTAAGCTTTGAGCTAGTCGAGAATTCGGCGAAAGCGAAGTCTTTGGTGATTCGACAATTCAATCGATGTTGCCATATGAAAGCTAAGTAGCCTTGCAGAACGTTCGAGAATCTAAGTTTGGAGTTCGTCAAAAAATTGTGATTTTTTTTTATTTTAATTTTTTCAGAATATTCAATGAATTCTGATTGTCAAATGTTTACAAACATTCGAGGGCTAGAAGGCTTGGTGAATTTCCGAGAACCAAAGGCCTCGAAAAAATGCTCCAATTCCGAACAATATATATTAAAAGATAATTTTAATTTACATTTTTATATTATATTTATGCATATAAATACTTTTGAATGGAGGTTAGTAATTTATCATGTAAATTACTAGATTTGGGGAAAAACTTATACTATTTATACACAAGATAGTCTAATAGTATATATACTTTATTTAATAATAGTATAATTACTAGTATACACTATTATTCACATAAAATTTGAGATTATGTACAATTAATATATCATTATTCTTTCTGCATTCATTTGGAAATAATAAAATTGAATTAAAATTTTTTAGGAAGGAGAATTATCCCAAGATTTGTTTACCTTTCATGAAGCTGTATCTGCTTTGCAAATACTGGAAGAAGAAGTTTTAGATACACATAAATTGGTAGTAGATAATACATCAAAATTTTTAAATAATGCCCATAGTATATTTAGTATAACACATGAAGTGGATTATGACCAAGAAGGTATTATTTTAACTTTTTCATTGTGTATTATTGTATATAAATTGATTATAAAATTTTATAATAATTAATAAATATCTAATTGAAATCGGTTTGATTAATTAATAATTATAAAACTGAACATTTTTTTAAAACTTTTATTCGTAATAAAGCCTATTATCTTAACAATTAAATTCTTGTATTTTCTTAATACTTTTCGTCTGTTTTACTATTTAATAAGTAAAATTTATTTTAATTAGAAAAAATTTTATTTACAATTATATATGTAAACGAGAAATTGTTGTATAAAGCATAATTGATACATATTGCTTGATTTTCTATAGTTGCGAAAATGAAATTTTACTGTAATTCGAACATGCTGTGTAAATCTAATTGTATCCGTATTCATGCAAAATTATGAAATAGTCTTGTGTGTTTAATTATAATTTAGTTATAATTAAATCAATTTAAATACTAATTTTAAATTTGTATTCAATATATTTTCGATACGAAAAAAAAGGTTCTACTTTCCTAAATTTAGTATTGCAGATACAAACTTTTATAAGTAAATGTTTGTCACATTGAAAGTAATTGTCTCATAGCTTTTGTATAATATATTATTGTTATATATAGTTGCCTTTACTTCTCAATGTTCTATGTCTTTAAAATAATATATTTATATTATTTATTTTTAATTAACAGTTTTTCTGAAAATTAATTTTTTTTGTATTAATTGAAAAATTGAATTGGCTATATAAAATCTAGTACAAACAATTTATTTCATGAACAATGTTATATAATATCGTAATTATTACCATGTTTTATTAAGTTACTATCCATAGATTCATTAGGTCTCACCGTAAAGTATAAATGTAATCAAAATAAATCAAGAGAGAGTGGATAAAAAATGGAAACTAATGTTTAACAGTGTCTTTGGAAAAAGTTAAATGCGATTGATAGAGTATACTTCAGATTATTATGCCATATTATCTGTAGTAAATATTCATATCAAAAGAGTTGAATTAAATTATAATTTGTATTACCATAGAAGTTATAGCATATGTCATAGATATCACGAGAGTTAAATTAAAATGTAGTTTTATTAACCCAATCTGCAGTTGTAAAAGATACAAAGATTCCAAACATCTAACTGAGACCATAAGCAAGTATTGTATAGGTGGTGCGTTATAAAAGGAAGAATTATATTTAAAATTAGACATAGACCACTAATTGGAACGGTGGGAGAAAAAGTGTGGGCAAGTGGAGGGGGTAGCGCTTGAAATCAATTTTCGACACGTCTTCCCTTTCGTGCTTGGTGTTCCGTTTATTTTACAACCACATGTAATGATGATTCTACGTTGAGGATAAGAATCGGTGAGATCTTGCCGTTTCTTGGTTGTTGTTACTTAGTGTCGGCATGCACTGCATGTAGAGGTATGAGGTCGTAAGTCTCTGGATCCTCTTCAAGCAGTACGCTTGGTGGTGAAATACTACACTGAGAGTGGGAGGTCGTCTCTTCATATTTCTTCGTGTATTGTCACATGATGGTAACTTGAACTAAGCTATCTTGTAGTGTGGAAAAATGAGAAGATCCTTCCATTGAGTATTGCTGCTGATAGTGTGTGCAATGGCTGCACTAGTATTGGAAAGGCTTGCGACCGCTTCCTTGACTCGACTTGGCCGATAGATTCTTGAGTGACTGGCTGACGACTGAGTAGCTGTTTGTCTGAATAATTTACAATGACCCTCTAGGCGTAGTGTGCTTCCCTTAAACATCCGCGCGGCAGCTTACTTAGCTGGCAACAAAGCATCGATGTTGCTATACAGGAATCTTACATGAGGCGCAAAAAGAAAATTAGAAGTTTCAAGAATCCCAAGAAAAAACATGGCTTAAGAAATTTGGAGTATGCACATCAACGTTACTATGTCAAGGCTATATAAACATTATAGGGCATTTTAAATAAAAACAACAAATACTCGAAAATTCTCGTACCCAACTATTTACAGAAACTTGAGAGCTAGGGGGACTAGCGAACGTGATTAATCTATAAGTCATCCAAATTCGCCGAATCGTTAATGGTAGTTTAAAACTTGGAACCTTCAAGTTAAACTTTAAATTGTTAATATTCAGCGTGGATGTTAAAAAGAACATTGCTAAATGGCAATTTCGTCATTACAATATATACATGATTAATATAATTTTAAGTTTTACTTAATTTATGTAACTAATATTATTTATAACTTAAATAATTTTCTAATATTTCACTGTCTTCGGTAATGTCTTTAATAAAATTATATATTTATTATATGATATTTACATGATTATTTTCAATAATCACCTCTATTTTCTAATAATATAAGAAATGCGATATAATTATGAATATGCAGCAGGTAATCAGGAATCTTTGCATGTGTAGGTCGACAGCTAGCTGGTGACTGTCACACCCTTTTGCTTTAATTTTTGTAATCCTATTGACTTGTCCTACTTCATTGAGAACATGTTCGTTTGATAGTCTTTCTCTGGTACGAGAAAGAAAAATACTGCGAGTGGTTCTTGTTGAAGCAGATATCTCTTCACTGTTTTCCCTGGATTCGACATTTTCTTGCTTTTTTATCAATGGTTAGGGAAATTTATAAATTGGTACTTACAGTGTTTTGTAGATCAAGTGCTTCTTGTTGTTACCTTGTAGCCCTTGGATAATAAATAGTTATGGAATTATCTGAACTATTCTTGTTCAAGCACTTTTTCTTGTGTATGAATACTGTTATAATACACTAACCCGGCTGGTTGAAGCATGTTTAGTGAGCCGTTTCTCCTATTGTATTAATACTAAATGAATACACTAACCTCCACTAATCCGACTCGAAGGACCAAAATGTTTAGAATTAACTAAGAAAAACCGCTAGATGTGTGGGAGAACGCGTAGGGCAAGTACAGGGGTTAATGCACTGATTTAATAATTAACACATATATTTCTTATTGCTGTTTATTCCATTTACTTTCCAATTAAGAGATTATTATTCTCGAGAAGATTATAAATGAACATTTATTGTTCTAAATAATAACTGTGTCGTTGCAGTATACTTATATTGGAGAACCAGAAGGTTGTGAAGTTCTTGATCCTCCGGACGAAACGTGTCAAATAGTGATTTAATATGAACTGTGAAAAGAGATATGTTATAAAACAATTTACACCTCGTGTGAGTGAACACGTACCTGAGATAGAGCTTAGAGGACTGCGCACCATTGAATGACGCGAATTGCTGGTCTTGCAAAGTGAGAATGCGCGGGAAGCTTTTGGACTCAGACTGGTTGCGGTCCGTAAATTAGGCCGTGAAGTGAAGAATCTAACACTAGAGATAAGACTTACTTGGAAGTTGTAGTGTGTACAAAATGCACCTCGTCGTTCCGACTTGTTTTATCACGGCCGGTTCGACGGATACAATTTGATGCCGTTGACAACTCAGAGGCCACGGGTGTTATGTGATAGCGATGACAGGTCACAAGTGGAAGGGATATTATAATAATACAATAAAGATATGGCTGAAGTATATGCTTTTTATTCTGTTATTTATTAATGACAAGGTTGACTAGTATTACTATTATTACTTGTAGAACTAAATTCTTGATTGAAGTGATGTGTTGAGGAGACAACTGTGCAATAATCTATGCAGCTCGATTGTTGAATATGAATGGTGAATGGCGCGAAGTTTCGTTCGTCGACACTAGCGCCTTTTGAACGAGTACGTGTGTGGTTGAGGTTATGAATGCGGCTTTATGATTGAAAGATATCGCAAGTGGCGCGTCATCTCCTATGTCATGTTCGGTTTTGTATTTTTGGCGAAGGTTGATGATGATTGCTCGGGTATTGGAGTATTGTGAGGACTCCTTTACAAAGGTGTTGTTTTTAAGATATTCGTGATCGCACTGAGCAGCTGACCATTTCCAGGTATGCGCGTTCCTTGATGAAGACCTTGTAGACATCAACTGCGTATGAGTATGAATCAGAGAGTTCTTCCATCATGTGACATCATGTTACAGTGAGGTAAATCTGTCTGCAAGGTTCTGCAAGATTGTGATATGATTTAATTGTGTTTTTACTTTTATAATGAGCTCATGGGCAGTTGCGAAGATGTCGCACTTCGAAGAGATCCATCCTTGCTGGTGTGATGGTTTTAAGACTATTAACACTCTTTGTATCCATTGTAGCTTCCTTGGCTACCGTATTTATTATCGAGTATTACAGTGAGGTAGGAGGTCGAAGCTTTCTGGTTTCCAATTTGAATAAGTGCTAATTCGTGGTAATCTATGAGGAGAAGAGGGGGTTCGTAAGTCTCCGATTACTCCTTAATGTAGAACCACGTGCTGTCTAGAATGCACTGATGCAAGGTATTGCTGAATTTTTGAAGTTACACGTGTGCAGGGTACTGGTGAGATGCACTACTGTCTACTGTATCCGGCTCGAAGGACCAAATGTTCGAAAGTTCTTTTTTATTCTGGCTTAAACTGCCAAAAGCTCAATAGTTCAGTTATTTGTCGCTCGCTTCAGCGATGCTTAGGAAAGGACACACGTGGAAGGGCTTAAATATGTACAGTATATAACTTCGATTAGGACATCGTTTATTTTGTTTATTGACAATTATTACACAATTATTGTTCTATATTCACTTCTCGTAGGAGAAAGTGAATTATATTCTATTAGAATAACACTAGCTCTAACTAACACTAACTCGAAACAAAGTTTAGACTTTGCTATGCGAAGGCTAAGCAGCCATGTCGGAAGTTCGAGAATTCTAAGAAAGTAAATGTAAACATTCGAGGGCTAGACGGCTTCTAAACTTTCCGAGAACCGAAGGCTTCGAATAAATGGTTCAATTCCGAACACTATGATACGTTGTATATAACGAATACAATATCATTGAATAATTTTATACTAATTTATTTATATTCAATGTATTGTAATTTGATTGTGACCAAAATAAAAAAAATTAATATGATTGAAAGAATGTTTGTAAAAATGCTA